CACACACACACACACACACACACACACACACACACACACACTCTTAATAATAGATAACACCAAAAGGATGTTAAAAGAAAAGGGGAACATTTATACATAAACAGAATTGTTTAAATTCAGGAGTTTCCTGCATATAATATTTCATTTAAGGAAAAAAAAAACTTCACTGCTCTGCTTTAAAAATATCAAAAAGTATTAAAATGTGCTAACTCTCAAAGTTTCTCTCTAGGATTCAGTTGGTCCTGGGAAGACAATATTATTTCTCCAAATGTCACTGGCAACTTCTTAAGAAGCTTAAAGGTGCCAAGAATTAATATCATTTATTCACACATTCAAATGTTTTTAAGTGAAAAAGTTTATTATAATGCCATTTATAAAAATCACATAAAGCAAAACTATATATTTCCCAGGGCTTCATATGAATTGAATGTGGCATAGAAAAGTCTACATCAAATTCAAGGTGGTTATCAAGGGCGGGGAAAGGTGCTGGAAGTTGGGAACAAATGGGATTTAACTTATCTGTATTGTTATTTTTCTTTCAGAGACAGGCCAAGAGGAAAAAAGAAAATATCCCTATGGTTGTCAGAAGTTCATACACTTGGCAAATATAATGCATACACCTAGTAAGTATAGGCATTTTTATTTACATTCTTCCATGTAATTTTATGAATTAAAAAACCTCCAAAATATTGTCATAAAGCCACAAAAAACATGAGCATAAAATCATGAGCATCCAACTCCCCTACCAATGTGTTTGTATCCAGTGGGCGCCAATGAACTAGACTAGATCTGAATCTTGTCACCCTGTCTTGTTCTTGGCACCACCAAAGGCTCCTTTCAACATGCTGAATATCCCATCTATAAATCTGTTAAAACTCAAAGGCTCCTCTATCCATCACTAGTTCATATGATGCTGGCTTCCAGGAGCTCTCAGAAAACATCAAGTCACAGTCCTTTTTACATCAGTGAGATGCTACTGGATGCCGCACTAACACATTGTGACCTATCACTGCAAACACCTGTGCTTCCCTTCTTCAAAAACCACTTTGGAGTACGTTGGTATTTATAGTAAGTTGCAAAGAAAATACATGAGCTCCTCCTACTCTTCACCCAGCTTCTCTTCATGATAACATCTTCATCCATTCACTCTCGAAACCTCAAGCAGAAGTTAAGATAGGTGGCTTAATCAGCTTTGGAGAATCACACAATGTCACCCAGAAAGTTCTGTAGTGGAGCGAGCTTGGCTTTGAATTCAGGAGACCTGGTTCTGGTCTGTGCTTGCTCAAAATATGAGGTATCATTATGTAAAGCCACTTGCATCTTTGGACCCCAGTTAAGCTTGCACAGTTGGATGCTGCAGTAGTCATAGACTGGCAAAGTGTCTTCAATGGATCCCTAGGGCTCATGGAGATGGCATCCTGGGCTCAGGACCCGGAGAGGTCAGCTTGGTCCCCACTCTACTGTCACAACCACACCCTCTCCTCTCCTCTGTTTGATATATAGAGCTGACTCAAAAAATATTAAAACTTAGAACTGTTGAAGCTTCCCTCAGCTTGGCTGTAGGATTCAGTGGGTCCTGGGAAGACAATGGTAGCTTCCTGAATATCACTGGTAACTTCTTATGGAGCCCAAGGGTTCCAAGAATCAACTATGCCACGGTCTGGGAATCAGGCGTGGATTCAGTTGTTCAAATATCTAGAAGCTTAATTCCAAGGAAGCTAAGGACAAAACACAGCCACTTTAATAGACTGGAAGACATTTTCAAGTTTATTTATTTTTCTCAAAAACAACCAAGACTGGGCTTAGGCAGAACTGCCAGTGGATTGTGTTACACTTTACAACAGTGCGAGAGTTTGCATAAACTATCTATGGCATTTGAGATCCAGGCCAGCAATTCGACATGTATCATTTTGGAATGCTTTTCCCTTGTGTTCTTAGCTGCCTGTCTCCCAGCAGAGTGTGGCAGAGCCCATCTCTGAGCGCCAGGCTGGGGTCTTATCTCTGCATCTAAAGCATTCACGGTCGGAGAATTTGCCAACATGAACAAAGCCTTCTTATTGCTTAAATACGATTTCCTCTTATCTCGTCAGCTCTATCAGCACCAGACAGGGCTTTAGAGGAATATGCCTCTGTTATTTTTTTTTCTTCTGTTTTTCTATTTAGTTGTGTGTTTGTTTCAGGCTGGCTACAATCCTGACCAGGGACAGTCAAAGCAGATCAGAGAGGAATAAACAAATCCAGCCGAACCTTTGCCCAAAGCCCTAGTTGATCTTAAAATCAGCTCTATTTCTGGGGAGGTGGAGGGAGGCTGGGGGCAAAGGGAGAGGTGAGCAACCATAAGCCTCCTGCTTTTATTGATATTGCATGAATGTGCTCATCAACACCATTTATTGACAGCCTGTAGACATGCCCAGCTCTGGAGTGCTCAGGAAAGAGAGAGCCTTGCTGAAGTCACAAGGTTGGCTACTGTGGAAGGTGTGACCCCAAGGGGACCGAGACTATGGGGATGCTCTGTTTTTATTGACCCACTTTTTTGCACCTTCCACAAAAGCAAATACAACTCCACCAAGCATTGCTGACTAAGAAAGATTTCTGTGGGGGAACAAATAGGAGAGTCACATCACACATCATTGTAGATTTTACGCCCTTCCAACTATCGTCCCAAGTTCCTCAACTATCCACTCGTCCTCTCCTCTCCCTGTTTCTCCAGTGTTGCTGACTCTAGGCCTTCATGTCTCCCAATCTCCTGCCAATCCCAATCTGCACATCTCCTGAATCTCCTACAGAGCCATCCTGTTCTCCCTCCTGTTCTCCAAACTTGCACCCTAAATCCTAAAGACGCTGAGGTTCTTCCCAGCCATACAGCTTCAGGAATCAATATCCCTGAAGTGCACAAAATGTGGTAACCTCCATTCACCTCTGTCACACTCACAGGAACAAGCATTCCTTTATATCACGGGCAGGATTTTCATTTCCTGGGGAAGATGAGAAAGGGATTCTTCAGAGCTGAAATGTTCTATATTTCCCACTGCCACGTTCATTGCTGCATTATTCCTAATAACTAAGATGTGATAATAAACCACCTGTCCATCAACAGATGCATGGATAAAGAAAATGGTGTTGCTTGAAACAGAATGTTACTCATCCTCATAGGGTACAGTGGCACACACCTGTAATCTCAGTGACTCTGGAGGCTGAGGCAAGAGGATCACAGGTTCAAGGCCAGCCTCAGCAAATTAATGAGAACTTGTTTCAAATTTTTTTTTTTTTTTAAAAAGGGGGTTGCAGATGTGGCTCCACACTAAAGCACTAATCCCCATATGAAAGGGGGAAAATAAAGCTAATCATCCTTAAAAAGAGAAGGAAATTCTGCTGCTGACAACAAGAAGAAGGAACTTTTGGGGTATTACAGTCACAAAAGGACAAATACTGCATGATTCCATCTATATGTGGTACCTAAAACAGTCCAACCCATAGAATCAAAGATGGAATTAGTGGCTGCCAGGGTCTGGCAGCGGGGATAAATGGGGAGATGCTCATCAAAGGTCATAAAAGTTTAGTTAAACAAGACAAGTTAGTTCTAGAGATCTGCTGTTTGCATTTTACCTGTAGTTACCAATAAAACATTGTTTACTTAAATATTTATTAAGAGGGTCGATCTCCTGTGGTGCTCTTACCACAAGAAAACACAATTTTGAAAATCAGCAAGTATTATTTGGAGTGACTCAAATATTGTTATTTGGTAAATGAACGAAGGCATGAATACATTAATAAAGAAACAATCAAGTGAAGGCAAAAATGTAATGGAGCTAGGCAAAGAGCAACTGCGGTTGGTTGGGCTGGCGAACACCCTCACAGGTCCCCTCAGGGCTGGAGGAGAGATCACACAGTGTCTTCTTGGTTACTCCATGGACAGATAACTCACTGCCATTCACAAACAGCTTAATTTACCTCTGCACAGTCCTTTGCAATTGTCATAGGGAGAGTCGCCTGCCTGCACTTTCTTGTACTCTGTCCTCTACGTAACAATTTGTGTAAACTTTCTTGTTTTATAGTTTCATAGTTAGAGGGGACTTGGATAGTTTATCCACTGAAACCATTTCCTTTTCAGAGGTCAAAAGAGGAGAGGTATCATGCAGAATGTCACTCACTAGTAAGCGCAAAGTTGTTACAGAAACGCAAAATTTTCTCTCAAAATGAGCACATTTTTCTCATCTATGACCTGCACCTTTTCTTTTCTTTCTTTTCTTTTCTTTTTTTTAACCAAGGATTGAACCCAGGGGCACTTAACCACTGAGCCACCTTTCCAGGCCTTTATTATTTTTTTTTATTTTAAGACAGGGTCTTACAAAGCTACACAGCACCTCACTAAGTTGCTGAGGCTGGTCTTGAACTTGCAATCCTCCTGCCTCAACCTCCTGAGCTGCTGG